AGCTACAAAACACCACACCACATAAATGTTTCACCAGCCACACCAAAGATCTCATGCACTATCAGGATTGGCAACATTTTATAAAAGAGGCGTCAGCCGAAAACGTTGTCACCGCCGTGGAATAACGCTGTAAAGTGTCTGCAGCCCACTTCCTAATGGGAGACGCCACAGATGATGTCACGTATTGGCAATTGTGGTTGCCCGGTTGCGCTCCATTCAGCGCAATGGCTCATGTCCTCGTGCGACTGGGGCGCACACACGCACTACAAACTGGTCGGGCCAATCATAGCCCGAGGTTAACTCATACAAAGCCCATCCTGAGGCCTTGTGACAGTTCCCGCGATGATGTCACACCTGAAAGTGCCTCGCCAGGGAGCAGACGTTGGCCGACCCCCTTGACGACCCCGCGCTCTCACACGGCCCTCACGGTCGAACGCTCAGAGTGAGTAGTATCTTCCTTCTAGCAATTATCTACCACTTCTGTTAAGGATACACTCTTCCTACAATTCTGGCCTCCCCAAGACTTCTTTTCTCTCCTAAGGAACCGAGCCTGGAAGATTGTAGATCTTAGGGTTAACTGTGTTAACCTTAACACTACGCAATAGCACCGCCTTAACCTGTATGCGGGCAGAGAGCAAGTTGGAGTGTGGGGAAATTGCTTTCGAAACCCAGTATGTGCGCTTTTCCCCAGTCCGTGAGAGTTTCACCTTGGGAGGTCTGCTCCGGCCGGAAATACCGCGCCTGTCGAATGATGACCAACCGGAACTGGAGATATCCCCTAGTATGCGTCAAAAATTAAGACCTGTGGAACGGGCCTTGCGTTCATGCGAGACACGGTACAAAAAGATTGTGTTACTATCCACAAAGATACCGACCACGATCTCAGATAAAACAGTAGCGCAGTGTTTGTCTGCATCTAAAACGTTATTGCACATCAGTATGACTGGAGAAGGCGTGCTTGACAAACCCCGCCCTTCACGTTTTCTCCAATATTATCATGTGTTCATGGGACAATTGATGTAAAGAATTGGTTAAAATGGTCAAAACATGCATTTTAAATGATATATTCCTTTTGTTAAAGCGTCATAAGAAAACATACATTTGGTTTCAAATTGTTCCTGACTGAGTGGAGGAAATTCATTTTAAGAAAGCGGTAAAACGCCATTCATATGGCTTTTTACATAAACGGTCAAATGTACAGCGCTTGGATAAAATAGTTTTCATCTGGTGCTTAAAATCCCGTTGGACAAGGACGAAGAACGGAAGGTGGACGTAAGCGAAGATGAGTTGATTGATCCAAAGCCATTTGAAAACAAGACCTTTTACGTAAAAAGAATCCCCTCATATCCACTTAATAACACATTCCCGATAAGCCTCGCGTAGCAACGTCGCATATTTGTGAGCATTTTGTTCTGAGGGGGTGTCCGTGCTAGTAGGAGAAGAATACACCAGTCATGCTCATGTACATAGGTCTTAAGGTCTCTGAATGTTACGTCAGAACAGGCCGGCGTGAAAGAAAAATTACGGTAAAAGAATAAAGGCAACCAGGTCCACCCGTAAATGAGAATACTTATCCATATGACCTGGACCGCAGTAAGGCAGTGCTTAACCAAATATTCCACACCAAAAGTACTGCATGAGCTGTCAGAAAATAGGAGGGTTTATTGCTGAGGCATGAATCCGTAACCTGAGTCGAGTATACTTAAAGAAAGCAAGTAACCGCACAAACCTGCTACTGATCAAGGCCTGGACTTCAACCGTAGTGCATAGGTCTCTACGTAGGCTTCTCTTCGAGTCGCCACCAAGTCCAGTTCGTGAATGACCTTGCCACCGCGAACTAGTTTTTCGCGGACCCAACCTAATTTTTTCAAAGTTTCGTTATCTCCCTGGGCAGAACTGAAGAGGGGGCTGCGTTCGACGAAAGCATATTTTTCCGCCAGGTTGGCACACGGTACTGTCTGGCTTTTCATCTCAATCTCAAAGACGTGAGACCAGTCTAAAGAAGTGCAATTACTGCTGCCAGGGTAGGTTTCCACTATGAATGCAAAGGTGTTTCTTGGCGCCGGAGCCCAGGTTTTGTAAAACGGTCTGAAGAGCAGTGGGAAGACATCCGACTTTGCGTAGATGTAGGATCGTCCATATGCCCGTGCAATTTCCCTGATGTGAGTGACGTTAGAGACGTAGTAACCGATATCCAGGAACGGCCAGCTCCATTGGTATTGACTCAGTTTGCGACTACCTTCGATATCGAGTAGAGTATTTTCGGGCACAATTAATTTTGCATAAATTTTGTCCCTATCACCACCCTTCATGATGGTATAATTGGGCTTGAGGCCACGCATCTTCTCCCACAGTGCCGATCTGACCTCCCTGTCGACAAGAATATCAACATCATCGTCCCAGGGGATGATATCATGGTGCCGAAAAGATCCAAGCAGACTGCCGCCGTAGAGCATCCATCTGTCACCAAAACCGAGCTCCTCCATTACGTTTGCAAATGTATTGAACAGCTTCCACATGGTGTGCATTTGTCCACGACTGTATTGGACTTCGAAGGGCAATTGACAAATACCCGAAGAGCTCAGTGGAACACTTAAATAATCCCGTTTTGGCCAAGCGATATTCTCCAAATTTGGAAGTTCCTGACGCTTCTCTTTGGTGTGACCAGTGTCCACCACGAATCTCTGCAATTCAGGTGTTCGGTGTCTCAAGTAGAAATCATATAATGTGCGGAGTACTTTTGACGAGCTTTTTGGGATATCCACAAAATGGTACAAGAGAATCACAATGAGAATCACTGTGAGGACTGCTGCGATTTTAAACCTCCTCCCCGTTACCATGATGTTGGAAATTTTAGGTCTTCCTTTTAATCCTTCGCCCTGACTCCCTGTGTACTTGAAAGGAAAAAAAATCAAACGTTATATAGATGACGAGTAAGCCGTTTCGATTGTTTTCAGGCCGGTACATTGACATGGAGAATATAATGGTCAATTATGTGCACCGGTTTTATGATCCTCGGGGTAGGGGGGTTGGTGCAATTAGTCCTCTCGGTGTTCCCTCGTCTC